GACCCAGCCTAATATTTATGTAGAATAAAATATAGTTGCACTTAATTGTAAAAAAAATGTGAAAAATTGGCCAACCAACATCTAACATGGGCCGTACTCTGTTCTGTGGCACGTGGTTCAAAGTCCTCTTGATTCAGAAGAAGGCTTACATAAAGATGCTTAGTGTTTACTAATTTAAATTATTGTAGTTTTTCCATAAAAGCATTTTCATAAATATGAGAACTTGTCGAAAAAATTTTGTTTTATAATAAATTAACTGCAAAAAAGGCAGGTTGGTCAGGAGACTTAGAAAGCCTAAATATTGGCTCATTGCCAATAGGTCGATCACCACAGTAGACACATGTATTTACAAAAAAGTACTTTTCAATATGTCGCCATGAAAAACACTTCCGCATTTCATCTACCTTGAACGAACATCAAGTAGAAGTAGCCCCCACATTAAAATGATGTAGTGTGACCGGGTGCGATGAACGATCGCATAGAGCACGTATGTACATACCTACATTGCATTTACTGTGAGGCTACCGAATGACGATTCTCAGCTATGATAGCGAACATAAGCATTAAACAAAAAATAAATAAAAAAAAATACGGGCTGAAAGTGAACCAAAGGAAAAAGGTGTTGCTGGAACATAAAAGACCAAACCAAAAACCACTGTCAGCAGCATGTCAGCAGTCAAGCGTAGTTGACAAAGAAGACCGACAAGGCGATGGCTGGCGCGCGCGCGTCCTTTTATTGCATCTGAAATGCATTTGAAATGCATAACTACCGAGACGGAAAATTTTATGATTACTAGGATTGGGGTGCGTTGACAGCGGAGATTTTTCTCTGTTTTTTTTTTTTGTGCTTTTTTCCATGACAACGCTCACTCTTTTCTTAGGAAATTAGCTTCATTGGAAAATATGACAAATAATGCTACCTCACTTAATCCACTCTAAGCAGCGTGTTTAATTACTTGGTGTCATTTTACATGAAATTCATATGCACTCACTTGCACTCATACTTATATAGGTATGTACAAGCATATGCGCACATGCGCATTCACATCATCACTTTTGAATTTCAAGGCCGCTAGGTGTCAATATAAAAATGTCACAGCGCGATTGGCGTTGGTTATAATGTGGATGATGATGATGATGCAATAACTTTCACGCGTTAACTTTAAGCATTGCAGTTGCTGGCCTACAGCATCTTAATGCTGACGTACCACATTCATCGCTGTAGTACATTTTACTTATATTGCTCTTTTTACTTAAATATTTTTGATTTTTTGCTCTTAGCTTTTTTTCTGCTGTTCAAAACACAATTGTATGCAATGAAGCCGGCATCCCCATCGCTTTTCGTATTCACCATCGAATTCGTATCTTTATTTTGCACAATTGTCAATTTGCTAGCAACAGTCAAGTAAAGCAATTGAAAAAAGCAAACTTTTGTTGTTGTTGGTTTTTTTTTTTTTGTTGTTATAACCTTGAAAAACAGGTTAATGCTTATATGAAAGAAGCCAAGTAACTGCCGTTTTAGGCAATTTCTCGGCATGGGCGTGACGGCAGCAAGTAAGGCAACAAAATGCAATCAAAATCGAGTCAATAAAGTAAATGAAATAATTTCAGCGAGTTAAACATCGAATGTGTAGTAAAGTTGTTTGATAAAAAAAAAATGCTGTAATATTTCATTTTTCACATTTGGTGCTGGTTGAGAAATTAAAAAGCATTTCTTCATAACTTAAATAAGCGTAAGGTTTATATGTGTATGCATGTGTGTGTGTAATACACTAACCAAAACCTAATCAGCAAATTTATTAGTTCAAATGCACATCAGCTCATGCATACAAACTTTTTCTTCATTTGCTCACAGGTTTGACGTCATTTTTTTTCTGTGAATCGTCAAACTGACTTTTTACGTCGACGGCGAGTTGGGTCTTCAGAAATCCAGTTTTTTGCGAGTTTTTTTTTCGCACGTACCAACATACATATATGAAAAAATCGAACATTCACAAATGGCCAATAGGAAATTGCTGAAATATTTAGGAGGTTCACAAGACGCGTTAATCTCGATCTTAAGCTTAACTTTTTTGTATGTAAAATAATGATTAAAATGATTTTAGAGGATTTCTAACTACACCGAAATATTTATAAACTGATAAAGAAAATACAAAATTAGCACTCGCTAAAACCATTTTAACCGTTATTTTACATAACAAAATGTGAGACTTAATTAAGATTTTACGACGGTTAACACGTCTTTTGAATACCCTAATTGAAATTCAAAAAATTAGAGAAAAGCTGCCCTTGGTAAGTCTGTAATTTGCTTTCCCAAAAAGGAATGTGGATGGTCCTCGCAACTCGTTCGCTTTACAATTACTCTCATCGTATCGGTGACCGACCACTCAATGAGCTATGTTTCAGCATTATAAAATCGTTCCCCAAAATACTCGAAAAATTGGTTTAAGTATTAATTATATCAGCAATGTGTATTTTTAATATGTTTGAATAATTAAATCTATAACTAAAACATATTTTAGTACACTTTTTGGTAAACAAAAAAAATAAGAAAATATACAATTTTGTACAAAATCAGACTATATTGCTGTTGCCAGGAACTCACCAACCGAGCATCGGTTCGATTGAGACTCAGAGTAAATATTTCCCTACAGGGTAAATATGCAGCCTAATAGGAGCAAATATACGTATACGCATACACACACATTTGACTTTCGACGCGCACATTATTTATCTTCAGAGCTGATCTTCAATTCATGAAGTCATCTTTTGCTCGTCAACAGTCATTTAAATAACCCACACATAAGAACAATGTTGAATAATTAAATATCTAGAGGCATGACAACTGATTTTTGCTGAGAATATTTTATTGCGTATGCGAAATATGTTACGCACAAGTATACGTGCATACATGCTTGCAATATATATGTATACATAAATCTTATGTAAGCACACGTAGGTGACGAAGTGAATGGAGTAGCACATTTATTAATTTAACAGTTGGTTGAATCATCGTTAATTTTTTTATTCTGAAGATTATTCAGTCGTCTTATACTAGTTTGGTTACATATGTACATAAATATGCATATACACATATGTACATTGGGGTGGAGTGAAAAAATCATATTCATATTCAACCGTGGAAGATCGTTAAAGGGTCTTAAAGTTTCGAAAAATATTTCAATTTATGGTTCTTCTATAATCTTTTTTTAATTTTAACAATTGAAGTGCAAGTTTCAAATTGCTAAAAGGTCGCGTTGATTTTTGTATTTTTTTTATTTTTTTGCTGAAAGTTTTCTTACATAAAGTATGTTCGACAATTTTTTTGGTATATGGAGGACACTGTCAGCAAAAAAAAGACCAAATATCAACGCAATTTTTTACCAAGCTGAAACTTGCTTTTTATTAAAAAAAAAAGTTAGTTTGAAATAACCATAATTTGAAAGCCTTTTTCGAAACATTAAGGCTCTTGGGACAACCGTAAATATTATTTGATCGGAAAACGGTTCAATGTGCGAATCATGTTACGCAACTTTTCCGCACTATCACAATTTCGAAATCGAAAAATTATTTTTTTTTTTTCGCTCCACCCTAAGTTTTCAGCTTTTATTGAAACTTGCACTTTATTATACAAAAATTTAAAAAAAAACGTATAAAATAACCATAATTTGAAAGATTTTTCGAAACTTTAAGGCTCTTGGGGCAGCCGCAAATATTATCCGATCTAAAAGCAGTTCAATGTGATCATGTTACGCAATTTTTCCGCACTATTACAATTACGAAATGGAAAATTATTTTTTTTTTCGTTCCTCCCTATTTTTTCTATTTAAAAAATCTTAAAAAAAGCATAAAACAACTATAAGTTGAGAAATTTTTTCAAAACTTTAGGACTATTGGAGCGACCGTGAGTGATCATGGAAATTTTTTTTCACTCCACCCTAATGTACATTCATTAAGCGCAAATATTTTGAAGCGTAAATACATTGTACATTTATTCTTATGCGTCTTAAGCTTCTTAGTTAATGGCTATAAGCTACTGGGTAAACAGTTTCAGGTAATTAGTCGAACGAATCGTTGTCCATTTTAATTTACACGTTGAGGCAAAAATGGAGAATAGTATTAAAATATTTGTGTGGAGTTGTTTTGAAAGGCTAGTTTTAATTTTTTAACAGTTTACTAAATTTTTTCTATAATATTTACTTAAAATTCCAAATATTTACAATCGAAAAATTGTTAAAAAAATTCTAAGCATATTGTTGATTTTATTGTATGTATTAATTACATTTAATAAATAGTATGTATGTATATAGATATATCTTCTACAAAACAGCCACTTCCACTCTCTCAAATAAAAGACTTAAGCAACGAACTTCCATGAACTTATGCGCCCACATAGCAAGATGATATAATCAACATGGCATTATTAATGTGTAGCTTGTCTAATAGACCAGTGATTGGAAGAAAACCTGAAAATTAATTAATAATGTTGAACTGTTGTGTTTGAACTCAATTTTGTAATTATGCGAGCAGCACAGTCAACGACAGCAACTGCGAGTAGGCGTAGAGTGACATTTAACATTGACTGATAACCCATGGAGATAACTATGGTTAGCAGCGTAGCTTATACATAGACATTAGATGCTCACAAAAGTAGTAAAAGCAATATTTACAAAAATATTAATAAGCAAAAATAATATTTGGTGTATTCACAAGGGTGTCGTAAGTGTCGTATTGTTGTATGCCGTAAACTTTAAACGGCCAAAAATATATTAAAATAAATAAAAAATCGTATTATGAATTTTCGCAATGCTACAAAAAAAAGTGGTTGTGTTTTCAAGCCCTCCAAACATTTATTTAAGCTTTTAAAATTTACGACATACAACAATACGATACTTACAACATCGTTTTGAATACCCCAATTATTAATAAGGAGTGAAGAAAATGTGTTTTTGGTTCACAAAATCAATATCTGTTTGCATTAATTAGTTGCATCAACTTACCCGTCTCTGCTATTTTTGTATTGTTTTTATTGCGCTGCCAATTTTATGCTTGTTCACTGCTTTATGACCGCTCCTTTTACTAATCGGACGTGTTGATTTTTATGTAATCTAATTAAAATTTGGCCAAATATAAATTAATTTTGTTGCTGTTGAATTTTTTATTTTATTTTATTGTTGCACATATTTAATTGTTGTTTCAGCTGTTGCGTGCAATATATTTTTTCGATTTTATTTTCAGTTCCTTGTTAGAGGTGGTTAAACGTAGGTAGTTATAGGTATCGCTGCCAAATAAATATGCAGAAATATATTTTAAAATGGTATGAACTTTTGCAATATTTTTGGAACGCTGCTTTTCGGTATACATATATATGTGTGTAAATGTGGTATGTTTATTGATTCCCAAATTATTTGAAAATATCATAGTTTTTATTTTTCAAATTTATATTGCTTTGCATATATCTGTAGCTTTTAGCTCGATAGTTTACGGTCCTCGCATACTTAGTGTTTTAAGCAGTACCCAGTTTTCCTACGGCGGATAAAAGCCGCAATGAAAACCCCACAATAAGTACAACCCCACAGACCAGCATAAAAGTCATGGCATGCTATATTACGGAAAGTACAAGCTCAAGTTCCTCTCTCAAAAGCAGAACGAACCATCAGGGATGCAGCACAAAAAGCAAGTTGCATATGCCCGTGCGTATTAATCTCATCGCCCAGCAAAAACCGTCTGTTGAGATTATTACGAATGGACACAGGACTAGAGCGCACGGCTCTGAAACCACCTTTGTACCAATTCTGGCATACCAAACGACGCATCATTTAGTCTCCTCAGGTGGACTTCGTAAAGGTTTTTCGATTTATATGGAAGGCGCTGATTTAAAAGCTGCAAAAATCGATGGGGGGAAAGGTCAACACGCCCGAAGTCTAGACTCGATATTATTCTATATAGATGAAAACAATAAAGAAGATAGAAGCCGTAGTCGGTCCAACACACATTGGCGCAATTACTTAGCGCTGCAATTGAAGCACAAAAGGAGATCCACCTTCATTTTGTGCAGACGCTGGATAATTACAAGCGTATGTACGTAATTTAGCTGTGACAATATAATTAAAAATTTGTAGATTCGTGAGCTATAATTCTAATCTAACTGTAATTTGTCGAGGAAGTATTAAGAAAGCTTTGAAACCCGAAGCTTTCCGTGACTTCCCACGGAAAAAGATTAGGTACCATTCGGCCGCATCGGAGATTATGTGAATAATCAAAAAGCTTACCTACGCGATAATAAGGTTAACTGTAGTTTCGGGAAGATCTAGGTCTAGAAAACCGATATGGGAAGCCTAGTTACGCAGTGTGGAAAGTGAACTTTTTTTGTGAAAAAAATCGAATATCTCGAAAACGATAAAAGCGTGCGTAATAAATTTAACATCATTTTAGAGCTTTTGAGATAAATTGAATTTAGGAAAAAATAATAATGTTCGATAAAAAAATTACTTTGGCCTATCGAGTGATTCTCAAACATAGAGGGTTTTAAATTTTTTTTTTACTTATTGGCCTGAAAACAGCACGCAATGAACTAACTTTTTAAAAACAATTTAAAATGTTTTTTTTGGTACTTTCGACCATGAAAATCGATCCCTTATTGGCAGAATAGCAAAAATGTATATTTAAAGCTCTTTAAAAATTGCATTGCATACTATTTTTTGGTCACAAAGGGGAACAATTTAAAACTCCAATGATAATTTTTTTTTTAAGTTACAATTTCAAAAGTTAGATATTAGATTTTGTCGAAAAAGTAGTTTATTTTCCACACTGTGCAGCATTAAGAAGGAAACTACGGCCATGGAACGGGCGTATTTTTATAAATTTAAAAGGAACATTTTTTTATTTTTTCTTAATATCCTTGAAAAAATAACATCGTTTATTAATGATTAATCTGCGTACGATGGCGGAAAAATAAATAGCGATGCGATATTTTAACGAATTTTTGCTATTTTTTTTTTGTTTATTTAATGTTTTTTATTTTTTTATGAAAAAACAGCTCACTTTATAAGAAAAAACATGTTTTTCAAACTTTGTATAAAACTTAAGAAAATTCCCCAATTTGATCAAAATTTAAAATTTCCATACAGATGTTGTACAAAAAATTTCTACAAAAATTTAAAAAAAAGATCTAGGTATGCAATTTTGTAGCCCATTAAATTTTAGTAATATTCCGTTCAAATTTGAAGTAGCTAGGACTTATAGTTACTTTTGGCCAATTTTTTCGCTATCGAGTATGTTTGACAATTCTTTAATTTTTCTTTAAAAAAATTCTAAAAACTTGCATTTTAAAGAATAAAAAGTTTGAAATTTTGATAAAAAAAAAAATTTAATTCAAATTTTTGTAAATCTTGTAATAAGTTTCAAACTTAGTTGGACTACCTTTTTAGATAGTGAGCTATACTTTTATAAAAAAAAAAATAAAGCTTTGGTTTCGAATTTTCGCCTTTAATTTAAATGAAGCCTAGAAAATGCCTTTGCACTTTTAAAGTATTGGATTCAAAGTCGGCGCTTTTTAATTTGACAGCAAAGGTGTGAAATAATTTTTTCGTAATAAAGTGATATTAGCACCTTAATGCTTAATTACTCAATTTAGCTGGCTGTTTGAACCATATATAAAAGTAGTTGATTTCGGGTATGGATTTTTTGTTTCGAGTTGCCTATTTTATTTTGACTGTTGTTGTTGAACCATAACATATTTGTGCTGATGTTTATTAATGTTTAAAAATTGCAATTGTGCAATTTTTTCATTTTAAAAATTGTTTGCTTATACCCTTAAAATATCATAGAAACAAAGTTTTTCAAAACCACTACACAATATTTGGCAACCGAAATATCCAATCTAGTTTTTTCGCATTTCGTTGACCACTTTTTTCATTTTGTTACAAATTTTTTCTACTTCTTTACAATTTGCTTTCGTGGGTGCTTTTATTTATTAACTTTGCGTTTTTGTTTCTTTTGCATAATTTTTCAAAGCCGTATTGAGGTTGAGTCGTCACTTAAGTTGGGGTTCGTGATTGTACAACTGCTGCGATCTTTTCAGGTCTTTTGTTTTTTTTTTTTTTTTTTGTTTCATATTAACGCTGCTTTTGGCACTATATTTTTTGGCTTTTATTATAGCTGGTTACTATTGCTATAGCTATGGATTTGGTCAAGAGCGCGATGTATGTACATACTTATTATAAGGCGACAAGTAAGCGTAAATGTTATGAAATCAAATACACCAACTTCTTCATCCACATTAATTTTGTTTGTATATGTATTTACACGGACAGCTTGAGGTGGCCGCAATGGCGTGCATTTCATAAATAAATAAGTTGTGCGGTGCCAAATGAAAGATACCAGGCAACGAAGTAAGCTAACAAAGCGCACGCAGACACATACACATACGTGTTTAAAGAGATCTGATTTTGAATTTGCATAGCAGCTTTAATCAAGCAGTTGTGTCGCAGGTTCGTTGCTTAAGTCTTTCGTTCGGCAGGGCGAATTTCTGCTAAATTAATTACTTTGCAGCTACATATTAACATATGTTTCCTTACACACACACACACAGCTGGCTGACATCATCGACTGCTATTGAGGGAATATCAAAAACTACATTTTATAGAAAAAAAAAAAAAAACTATATAAACAAAGTTAAGTGTTGCCAGAAGATTTAGGCTAAACCGCAAGCGCAATGTGTTTATCATAAAGAAATTCACCATGAAATCGCTTGAAACCACCCGTTTGCACTATCATTCATAGCATGTCAGCGTACAAGGCTAACAACAAAGACAACAACAACAGCAATTCAAGCAGCAGCAGAAACAACAACAACAAGCGTATATGCACTTACACACGCATTCATAAATATAAATAATAATGCCAATAGCAATGATTTTTCAACTTCAGTAAGTCTTTGCACGCATTTGTGAGACTTCCTGTCGTGCGGCGCGTGACGTTTACAAAAAACTTATTTTCCAAAGGGAAATGTATATACATATGTATGTATGTATGTATGTATGTGTGAGCTATCGCGCACTTCACTTTACCATCAACTCTACATGCACAGTCCAATACTCGTATATGTATGTAATTTCATTGAAAACTTTATTAATTTAGAATACACATTCCATGCATGGTCACATACCTTTGCAATAATTTACCTCGTATCACGCTTTGTTTAATACAATATGTATTCTATTCAATTTTCTTGACTAAATATATTTCTATTGATTATCTTTTTTAAATTAAAATTATCACTTCTCTGTTTCGTTGCGTTGTCTATGCGACTTCCTTTGCAACGCTGTATATACTCGTTCCGTGCACCGTCTCCGACTTGGAGCCACATTCGAGCACACGTATACACTACTACATATGTACATACGCGCACAGCACACACTCTGTTAGCAAACCAATAAAACCGTAGTACTAAAACTTTTTAACCGTCCGACGACAACGTGCGCACGCGTACCGTACCTCAAAGCGTTTGTGTTGTACTCGTCACATCGACCAGGCTAAGACTGTCGAAATAGCAGTGGCTGTGAGACACTTGGCTGCTGACTAGCTGGTTGAGTTGCTAGAGCAAGTAAGCAAGCAAACAAGTTAATGGCCAATGCCAAAGAGTCAATGAGAAGGAAATGAGCAGCGCTCAGTATAAAGTTACTTATTTAAGTACTTACTTAGCTACTCTTCTCATAGTGCACGCTTACGTTGCAACAGCTGATGTTATGCTCAGCAAGTTTTTCTTAGTGGCAAAATTCCAAAACCGGTCCTGCCAAGTTTCAGAGAATTCGCAAGAAGCGTTGAGCTCTTGCTTGCCTAAGTTGCAAAGCTAGGTAAGAAAGAGATAATAATAATTAAGTCACCGCCAATTTTATTTTATAGCGCCCAACTCTGCTTCGGCGGCACTCAGTATGATCACCTCTCTACCCACTACCAGCTACTATATCGCTGATATTTTTATTCTTATGACTGTATGTTGGCGTTTTGCGGTGTTGTTTTTTTATTGTTCTTTTCGTAGCTGATGTTTGTTTGCTGCTTTTGCTCTTGTCTTTGTTAATGAGCAAAGTCGATTGTTGTTGTTTTTTTTTTTTGTTTTTTAAGTATTTCTTTTTGCGACGCGTTAAGTGTTAAGTAGACAGACGTTCAGACATAAGCAGACAACACACACACAGACATACGCCGCCTAAACGCTTTACTCGCATCACCCTTTCCTTCGTCATGCTTTGTTGATCAACGTCGTTGGGGTCCGCGAATCTTTAGCTTCTACTTCTGTTTCTTCTTCCTCAACCGTTCCGATGCGGCCTTTGGCGATTAAACAACTTTGACGGCGACTGGGCGACGATTTGTATGCGTCTACCGGCGGCGCGGATGCGTTACGCCTGGGCCACCATCATTGACTTCAGCACAGCTTAGTTACTCACACATTTACTTACTTATTTGCATAGGTATTTAGTAGTTAATACTTTGTTTTAGTTACTTCGGTACTTAGCTATGTTCTTATTTTTATTTTTGTCTTTTTTTTTATTTTTTTTTTAAGCTGTTACGCATGGTTTGATTTCGTTTCGTCCAAAGTATGTTGCAATGATTTGAAGAACGCGAGTTACTTCATATTTAGTATGTTCTTAGAATCCCATAGCGTTATAAAGCATTGTCTGAAAATTTATTGTTGTTAAGTATATAAATGATAAAATTATTATTATTCTAAAGAATTATCATGCTTTACATATAATTATGAAAATGAAATGTACAATTTACCATGATAAAAATACAGTAAGGTATAACCGCTGAGAGTCACTTTTAAAATTCTTGACGTTCCCAAACAATTTAATTTTTAAATTTACTCACAAACTCACACACACATTTTCATTTTCAATCTCAAGCAACAACAATTTCGAACAATTTCAATTTTTCATTTTCACTTTTATATGATTTTAAAATGTTGGCAAACTTCAAAAAAAAATCATGGCCGACAAATTGAGAGAACGGTTCTACCTTGCTATGTTTTTATCATGCAATTTACTACCTGAAAAGGGAACCAGTTTAAAATTAAGGCATGGCGTTCTTTCTAGGTTAAAAATATCGTTGAATTTTCTGTGAAGCGAAACATTTAAATATAAACCTTCTTGTATTCCGTGGAAGAGCGACTTCGATAGCAGGGATGGGCGTAATCACGAAAACGAATAATTGAATAAAAAAATATAAAAGTTTTCATTCATAATTTCAACAATTTTGAATGGCGAATAAATTTTTTTGACTCCGTAAATGACATAATCCACTCAGGGATCAATTGCAGCCACGTTCTATAACAGAAAGTACCATAGTGCTCCAAAAAGTTTTCAGCCGGATAATAGTTACTACAATCGTTGGCTATCTAGACTTCCTCCAAACAATGTGTGGCGTTTTGGGTCCGACAATTAAAAATACATTTATCACAGCAAAGTTTGAATTAGCTGACTAGAAAACAGAAGTAGGCGAACATCAGACGATATGCTATCGGATGTCGTTTAAGGTGCACCAATAAGCAATAGAATTAAAACGAACGGACTTTGATCGTGAATCATGTCAAATATAAAAAAAAAAACAATGACGTCCATTTTGCTAAACGCTTGGTCGGGCTTATTAGTTATATTGGTTATAATAACACTGTACGGCAGAATCAACTTTTTTCTGGGTATTGGACCAAACCAATTTTTTTTTAAGAATTTCGAAATAGGACCTTTGGTAAAAAATTATATTTAATTATTGCAACCTAAAAATATAGACGCAGTCCTCCTTTTGCTCTTATTTAAATGGTATATAACTTTTTTGTGCAAACCATATTACACGTGCTATAAGAGGTCAAAGTTGAAGTCTTCGAAAAATTAAATTCCTTATATTTCAAACAATTTTGAACTGATTTCTAAAATATCGTTGTAAAGGTGATTAAACCCTCTTTCTTTCGATATGCATTCTTGTATACCTCGCAAATAAAAATTTTAGAAAAAACACATTTAAATAAAAAAACCTTTTTTTATAAATAAATATATTTTAAACAAAAAAGATACTAACCGATGTTTAAAGAATTAAGATCGTTGTAAAGACGATTTAATTCCATTTCTTCTGATATGCATATTTGTATAATTCGTACATAAAATTTTTACAAAAAACACATTTAAAGACAAAATACCTTTTTTTATAAAAAAATATTTTAAACAAAAAATTACAAACCGATTTTGAAGGTTGTTATCGTTGTAAAGACAAATAAACCCCCTTTCTTCTGATATGCATATTTGTATACTTTGTATATAAAAATAAAATAAAAAACACATTTAAATGAGAAAATGCCTTTTTAAAAGAATATATGTTTTAAACAAAAAAATACCAACCAATTTTTAAGAAATTGATATAATTGTAAAGGCGATTAAACCCCTTTCTTCTGAAATGCATATCTGTATACTTCGTATATAAAAATTTGAGAAAAACAACATTTAAAAAAAATAACTTCTTTTATAAAAAAAAATATTTTAAACAAAAAAATTTCCGACCGATTTTTAAACAATTAGTACCGTTGTAAAGGCTGTTAAACGCCCTTTCTTCTGATATGCATATTTGTATAATTTGTATATAAAAATTTGAGAAAAACACTTAAAGGTAAAAATACCAATTTTTTCCTATAAAAAAATATTTTAAAGAAAAAAAATACTAATGAGTAATACAATTGAATATTTTATTTAAATAAAACAGAAAATTATCTTTAATTTTTATATATAACCTGTTATGTAAAAAGTCAAAAACCATGGTGTTTTTATATTTTTATTTGCCTTAGACTTCTGTTGCATATACTTTTGCTTTATTTTTAACAGGGCTGTGGGCAAACAAGAACGAATTAACACTTAAAACACTATAAATTATTTGTTTTATTTAAATCCGGTATTCAATTGTATTACTAATTAGTAATCTTTTGGTAACATTTTTTTTATTTGAAAAAATAGTATTTTTTCCTTTTAAGTGTTTTTTTCTCCAATTTTTATATACGAAGTATACAAGTATGCATATTAGACGAAAGGAGGTTTAAACGCCTTAACAAAAATGCTATTTTTTTAAATTGGTGAGTAATTTTTTTGTTTAAAATATTTTTTGGTAAAAAAAGTTGCTTTTTCCTTTCAAGTGATTTTTTTCTCACATTTTTTTTTCACGGCGTATACACATATGCATATCAGAAGACATAAGGTTTAATCGCCTTTACAATGATACCAATTTTTTATATCACTCTTGTATTTATATTTCTGAATGTCATCAAGCATCTGAAAAGAGGCACTTCCCCTGCAGCTAAATTCTCCTCACTTTTTTAATGCTGACAAAACATACTTATAGGCCAACCAAATGTCTATACCAAGAACAAATCCATTCTAAAAATTGTTCAAATTAAACAACAAAGTGAGTCAATTAATTGAGTTTCGTGACCAGTCTCATGTGCGTAACTGGCCTTCAGAAATTTTTCTCTTCTGCCGACGATCATACTCAGCTAAAAAAATCTCAAAAGCTCTCCAGGAGTTTCAGTGTGTTTTACTCGTAAAAGAATGAAGGCTCTGTAAATTAAAAACATATTAGTGGTATTCACCAAATTGAGCAAGTGGCCTGGCACTCTGGCAAAACAGCAGATGAGCTCAAGGAACGACAGTTGACAACAGAATACCACTATTGAAAGTATTGGGTCATATGAAAAGTCTACTCGAATTTTTGGGCATATTTAAAAAAATCTCTATTGAAAATCAATTTACGACCTTTTGCAATTTTTCGTTTACCATCATAGTTCCATCTATGTTACCAAGAAGAGAGTTTTCTGAGACCGAAACAAATGGAAGTCACACGTTGTAGGATCCGGGCTATACGAGGGATGTATTCAAATTTCGCAACCAATTCGCGTCAATTTGTACCGAGTCATCAAATATGTGAGTTTCCTGGTATTGTCATAATGGAACACAACTTCACATCAGCAAACCGAATTGATCGTTTCGCCACTTTGTAGCAGTTCATAATGGAAAATTCCCGTCCAATCCCACCAAACACTTAACAAAGCCTTGTTTGCCATCAATCCAGGCTTTGAATTCGTTTGTGGAGGTGGGTCGTCGGTCTTTGACCATAATCACTTGCGTAGCTTATTCTCGCATTCAATCAAGTTTTGGTCGACCGTAATGATTCGCTTTAAAAATGGTTCGATTTTGTAGCTTTCCAGCCACGTTTCACTAAGGCCGAGGCCACGCAATAAGCGGCTGAGTGATTTAAGCTTAAGACATATGAAATACTATTGGAATGGCCACGCACTGAACCGATCAGAGCGATCTGCATAGAATAGAACAAACCACTCAGGGGTCCGGCGATAACTCACACCCAGTGTTGCAACATCAAAAATATGTTTTCTACCAAAGTGCCCAAACAAAAACTAACAAATGTCTACCAAAAGTTCAAGGCCACTCTAACCACTTTAAACAGAGCGGATTTTCAAAGAAAAATCACCTTGATTTAAATTTTATTTCAATTTGTAGGAAAAGTTCGGTCAATCGCA